GATCTAAACCCAATTGAGAACATTTGGGGATGGATGGCCAGGGAAGTTTACAAAAATGGACATCAGTTCCAGACAGTGGATGCCCTTCATAAAGCCATCTTCTGCTTCTGCTTGGCCATCTGTGTGATTATGATTATTGTTTTCTGTTGCCAAAATTAAAAAAAGACATCATACAAAACTTTAGAGGTAAGTATTAATGAAATAAATAGTACGTTTATTTGAAAAATGAAGATCATTTCAGAATTCAAATTGCTTTTTGAACCATGTGTTTAGAAAGCTCCTCGTCAAAAACACAACACAATGAGATGAACCAACCAGATGATATGGTGAGTAAACACATTTAATTGACGTAGTTTGTGAATTCAAAATGGAAAAAATACAATTGGATATAACAAAATAACTTTAATTTATATTTTGATTTAAATGTTATCCTTACACTCAGAAGATGGACATCATGTGACCTATGCTGGCTTGCATTTCTCCACAGAAATGACGGACAGAGAGCTGAAGACTGAAGAAAGTGTATATTCAAATGTTACAGAATTGATTTAAATATAATAATGTTCAATAAATTCAATATGATTTCCAATTAAAATGATGTCAGAATAAAAGTCCCTTCTAACAAGCAAGTGTTAAACATGGTTATCATTAAAACCATATGTGTGTTTTAAAAATATTTTTTATTTATCTGAAATGTTTTTTATTAGTTGTATGTCAGAAAGCATCATAACTAACAGAAATAGGGGCAATCTGTATATAAGCAATCTATACGACAATATAATACATTTTCAGTAACATTCTAAATTATTAAAGGGGTCAATATGTTTTAACCAACCTTAATTTATTTTTAGATTATTCATGCAAATAATCATGGTTTTAATCATTATGCAATATTTCTTTAAGTGGTGATGCTAAAAAGAAGTTTTCTAAACATCATGTTGCAGTTTGTAAAGGACTAAATCAAGAAGCTAGCAGTCAAGAAAATTAGCACTATTTTAATAACTAATTACCAAAAGGAACTTAAAGGAGGATTATAGGAGAAACTGGACATGGAGCATGGGCTGCGTAATAGTGGAAGTAGTGATAAGCAATGAAAAACAGAGATTATATACTGAGGAAAAGTGGAGATTTGGACATTGGATCCAGTCTTCGGTGTATTCGAAGAACTGTTATCAAGAAGTGAGCTTAGAGATCCTGGAGGTTTGTAAGGATTCAGAGGGTATGAGACTTTGATTTTGAAATTTGTTAAAGACATCAGAGCTGTAGGTGTCACCCTAATTAAGCCGATAAGGAACAGCTGTGAAGGTAGCCCTGTGCTCTCCAGCACAGATACTCTCTGGGATAGATGGATCTCCACCAGAGAGGAATAAAAACACCCAAAACACCAGAATCCTGACAAACCACTAAAATTATGGATTACACATATGCTCTACATGTTAATGCTACAGAGTCTGGGGTGAGGCAGAAAGTGCCATGCTGCACTGATAGGGGGCAGTGCTGAGCCCCATAGGCACAAAAAACCACCTAAAAACAGTTAGAGAAATACAAAATTTACAACAGGAATACAAAAGTTCCCGGGTGACTCTCCTGCTTGATCTTCACTAAAATGTTTAAAATATGAAGCCAAACAAAGAGGATTTTTTGTGATGGAGACGTATAAGCGCACAGGCTTCATATATATACAGGTAAAATCATACACAATTTTCAATTTTAATCATAACAAAGAGAGCTAAGCAAAAAAAGAGAAAAAAATACATTTTGACCTTATATTAATATTATTTTATTGCTCTTATCTTAAATATTGTTGAAGAGTATGCAATTGACTGATTCATAATTAAACGTTAAAACAACTAAATGTTTCAATTAAAGTCAAAACACAAAGCCTCCGTTTTATATTTAGTATATCCAATTCCAGAGAAATCAGTGCCTCACCAGTTATGAACCTCACTGTACGTCACTGAAAGACACAAAACACAATTAAAGGCTTAACACAAAGAAATAAACTAAAACGTAAAGGCAATGATGACAAAAATGAACAACAAAGAAAAATCATCAAAACACCAACACAAACTAAAAGCAGAGACACAGAACTGAAGAAATAGGATCCATGCACGACTGAACCTATAGACATTTAATGACATTGTATTAAAAGGCACAAGCACCCCGCACACTTCAAGGATACGCAGATAATGGATGAATGGATAGACATCAGGGCTTAAGATTAAGAGTCAGCCATTTCAAAGCACTGACTTTGTAACCCTTAAAGGCACATGTTGAACCCTTTGGAATTGAACAGGTCTAAAATTCACATTTTTGGTGCAAAAATAGCTCATATTTTAAAATAAAAGGTACTAAGGGCCTCTATTTGGCTCATACCTGCCAAGTCTTTTTTTTTCTGGGAAACTACCATATTTTACCGCCCTCTCCCACCGTGCTTCCATATCAGTATTTTCCTGTAAATATCCCATATTATGCCCTACCTCTTCCCACAAGTTACTTGTGTCACCCTGCTCTCACGTTAGCTTCTCTCTCTTCCTGCGTTTATGGTAGTCTAATACCCTCTGTTACGTTACTCGATCCCGGCCCCTTTTATGTTAGTATCTTATGTTAGCATTGGTAGAGCGAGTGCACCATGTGCAGAGGATGTAGTCCTCAATGCAGACGTCCTGGGTTGAGTTCCTGGTCTTGGACCATTTATTCCCCTTACCTCTCCTCACCAGATCCTAAATAAATCAAGGTCGTTATCCCTCACAATTTGCAAACTATAATCTAGCACTTCAGGACTTAGCTAAGTGTTCACATGCTGGTTAGTTTCCTCAATTCTAGCAGAGACGAATTAACGAGTTAACGACCACTTAGCTACAACAGGTGCAGCGCACCGAGCTCGCGCTGCTGTTGAGCAACCGATAACTCAGGAACGGAGTGAGCTGACTGCAGAAAAACTTTATGCTCTCTGCCCTCTAACGGTGGTGTGGGGAGATATTTAATTAAAAAAATTAAAAGTAATTAAAATGTAAGGTATAATTAAATGTATACCTTACATTTTTCTGTTTTCTAATCCAATGCTAATTCAGACTGCGAATATTTCATTAGAGGACTCCTATTCTGATGAAGAGACAGTCCGTGATTGAAATCCCTCAGCACCAAGAGAGCCAGGAACAAACAACAAACCTCCAAACAGTCGGTCAAATTTTTCTAACAATGTACAAAACGTGAAGACTCAGGTTCTGGAATTCACCTTGGATTTTCTGATTTCTCCACAGACACACACGTCTATCTACGTAAATGTTATGCAATTTTCCCCCCCGTTTGGTGCTTGAATCATACCATCATTGTTTTGTTTGTGTTCACACTATCAGACAGATGACAAATCTCAGATTAGAGAGCTTGAGGATCATATTAGAAAGTTGGAGGAAACAATTGTAAAAAGGACAAAGAAATCAAGAAACTGCGAAGGCTGAACCTCCTACTACAAGGCAATAACTTCTTATGTCTGACATACTTCCTATATTGTGATTCAGGGTTATCTGATGCTACATATAAAGGTGTTAAAGAAGCAATCTGGTCCATGTAGCAGTCATCTGCTTCCAGCCACCAGTTACAAAAGTTGCAGGGTTTTGCATTTGAGGATTTTTTTTATAGATAAAAATAATGATCAAATAAAGCAGATCACAGATATCCAGTGTGGTATCATTTTATAATTTATCCCACAAGGATATCACTTTTTCTGATGTGATAATTTAATCCTAACCCTGTTGACACTTTGAAATTTAGATTACGTTTCCATTATTTTATGTCCAGTCCTATAAATAGAAAGGGTGTGTTTGAAAACACTCCCCTGAAATAACAGTGAATAGTATTTAAAAAAAAATCTTTTCAAAACATTTATTTTTCAGTCCAGCAAAGACCTGATACAGAACCTGTGAGTTGAGATTTCTTAATTTTTCCATATTATGTTTAAGCAACAGATGTTTGGTGTAATTGCCTGGCTTTTATTTTAATTGCCCAGGAGGGCACTTTTGGAAACTTCTTTAAAGCCACTAAGTGTAATTGTAGTGGGTTTCTCAAAGAACATTGCTTTACTGTGGCAGGAAGTGCACTTTGATTGTATATGCCGTCATACCCAATCAGATGCATTTGACAGTGGATCTCCACACCTCCCCCTGTTATTTAAGAATGAAGGGTCTCAATGAAGGCAGTGTCAGCATGTTTCTGCTATGGGCTTCACTGTTTCTTCTTCACCAAGGGCGTAAGTAGCATTTCATCAGTTAAGTAACTGAATGATGAGCAATTGTTGACGGCAATTAAATTTTTTTTGTGTTGTTCATTATTGATACAGATTGTTTGGTCCCAGTGGTCACGGTTCAACTTGGTGATCCTGTGACTTTGTCTTGTGCTTTTTCGGAGAAATTTCAAAGCACCGCATGGCTTCACTGGTACAAACAGAGTGCAGGAGATACTCTGAAATTCATTGTGTTGCAGCAGAAAAGCATAAAGCCCAATTTTGAACGAAATGTGTCTACCTCAAGAATAGCGGCAACATATGATAATAAAGTCAGCAATCTAACCATTCGGAAGACAGTTCTGCAAGATGAAGGAATGTATCACTGTGCTCACATGGACTGGACTGTATCTACTTGGACTGGGACTTATTTATCAGTAAAAGGTAAAGATCTGATTTAATATTTTTTCTGTAGGAATGTGTCTCTTTTTCTCTAAATATGCACAGCTCCACTTGGAATACATATTGGAGAGTTAAGTTACACTAGAAAAAAGTACCTTCGACATTGATCCACCTTTCTGATCAATATAATTTGTGAGCTTCAGTCATAAATGATTAACTGTTTTTAATAGGTAATGAGATCAATTGCCCATGCAACACTTGTTTTTAAATTTAAGGTTAATCTCTTTTTTGTCATCTGCCCCCAAAATAAGTACTCTTGATACTTTGGGTATCTATGGATTTATTCTTTTTCTACATTCCACTGATATTTTTGACCATTGGCTGAGGCAACAAGTAATGGTCAGCCAATAGGGTACGCCCTTAAATAATGAGAGAATTATATTTATTGCTTAAATGTTTAAACATTAAACCATGAACAAAAAAATATTTTCTTTACAGTACAGATTGTTGCTCTTGAAATGAGCAGACATCCCACAATAACATTAGGAGTTTGTTGGAAAAAAATAAAATAAAATAAAAAATAAATAAATTATAAAAGGATTTATACAGAAAAAGACGGAAAACAGTAACTCTGACCAGGATTACTGGATAACAGTGAAATTTGTGGTCAAGTGAACTTGTGTCACTAAAACCCACATCCAAACACAAGAAAATGCAGGCAAATATAACTGATGAACTCTATGAGCCTCAGTAAAAGTGACCCGAATTTGGTTTGCTTTAAATTATTCGTGATAATTTAGAATATATATAACAAAAAAAACAAAGCAAAAAACAAAACAAAAAAAAACAACAACGGCATTTTCTTCTGTTTCTTCCTTTTTGTCCTTTTTACAAAAAAGATAAAGATGACGTTGAAGTATGTTTATGTAGATCAGCAAAATGGATGCAAGTATCAATAAAAAAAGCCTGAAAATATCTAAATATTAATAAAATGTTTTTCAGGTCAAACTGAGATAGTTGACTTATTATTTTTGACATTAAGAATCAAACATTTTTTATTTTAAATAAAAATAGTACAACTTCTTCCTTACAGTTTAATATATATCTTCATTTCTTCATAGCAAACTCCAGGAGGACTTTGAGCTACACTGTTCTCCAGAACCCAGTTTCTGATCCCGCCCGTCCAACAGACTCAGAGACGCTGCAGTGTTCAGTCATCTCTGAGTCTGAGAGCAAAGCCTGTTCAGGAGAACCCAGTGTGTTCTGGTTCAGGTCCGGATCAGAACAGTCCTATCCACAAATCATCCATTCTACTGACAAAGGACTCCGTGACTGTGAGAACACGACATCAAACACTCTAAAGAAATGTAGTTACAGCTTTTATAAGAACTTCAGCTCTTCTGACACGGGGACATTTTACTGCGCTGTGGCAACATGTGGAGAGATATTATTTGGAAATGGAATTAAAACAGCAGGTATGAGTTTTGTACTTCAAATACTTTACGTTATGCAAATATTGTTACTTCTTTGAAGACAATGATATATTTCTTTTTCACCTTGTTTTTCAGATCAGTCAGCAAGTCCTAAAGTCAATGTGCTGATGATTATAATAATCTGCTTAGCAATCTCTGTAACTATAAATATTGGTTTTATCTGCCACCAAACTCGAAGATCATGGTGTGGAAATTTTAAAGGTAAGTTGTATCTTTTGTCTTACTGTATTTGAAACATCAAATAAAGACCTAAATAATCTACTATGAAATAAAACTTAACTTGTGAGCAAACCATTGAGAACTGTTTTTCCACAGCAAAACAGAATGAGAATCAACTGGATAATATTGTAAGTGACCTATATAAAATTGTATTTAAAAGTCTTAAAAATATACCTGAATGTCACATGAAACAAAAATTTAATGTAATATTTTCTTTCTGCTCAGACGGTAAACGGACAGGACCTGAACTACGCTGCCTTACATTTTGACGGAAAGAAAACATCAAGAGGAAAAATAAAACAGCTGAAAACTGAAGACAGCGTGTATTCACAGGTTAAATGTGATGAAATTAGGAAGTAGCACCATGTTTATATGAACAAATGTAGATTCAAACTAATTCTCTGTGAGTAATTAAGACTATCATAATTGTGGTTCTGTAATGTCTTATTTAATGTTTGGAACAAGCTCAAACTGCCCTGATGTGGAATGAAGTTTCTCATACTTTCTTATGTAAATATATCTGTTTCTGCTCAAATTACAATTTTTAAAAAGATTAAAAATTTAAAACATTATTGCAATGTAATTGGAACTTGTCAATAAACTGCCTTTTTAAAATTTATTTTAAGGGCCACTTGTCAGTCTACTCAAATATAACGTTGTTGCTCTTTAGACATGTCAGGGTTTTTTTTAATACTTCTTTAAGCACAGTTAAAACCTACAGTACAATACAGACAGGGATAAACACAGGTGTTATGTTTATTTGTATATAGCACATCTCAGCAACAATGCAGCTCAAAGTGCATTGAGTTGCACTGAACATGAACAGATCTGACATAAGGCAGAAAAACAGAACATTTT